ATTACACAATAATAGTTAACAAAATCCAATCTAAAGCTCTGACAGGAGAGGTCCGTGTAATTTGGCAAACAAGAAGGGAGATCTTTGTATATTGGCAAAACCTCAAGGGAAGCCCATTATTTTTATATATAGTTATTAACATATAAATGAGATAATTATGTGATTATTTATTTGGGATACAAATAAAATATTTTCTTGACAAAACCTAAAACAAATGTTGTTTACACTTTACATTGAATAAATTCTCTCTTTTGACCGGACCAAAAATGGATCCTATGAGCTTTCATAGTTTTAAGTACAAAGATATTATAATTTACAATATAAAATGTTTATTTCATCACCTGCATAGGACGTGTATTATGCTTGTATTTAATAAATAAATATAAAATTAGTATCATTTCCATTATATTATTTAAATGATATAATGGAATTGATCACTTGTATGGTAACTCTTGACTCTTGAGGCCTCGGGGGTTACCTTAATTTTCTTAATTGAGCAGTGCCTGTCACCCGTTTAATTATCTTAATTTATTTGCAAATTTTGGATAATGCAAATGATTAATATCCAAATTTGTTAATTTAGAAATATTTTTTACAATTTAACTACGAAGCATAAACACTTGTACGAAGGAGTTGTATCCGTGTCCGTGCTATATAGCAATTTAACCTTGGCAATAATGATGGCCCCCAGTCCACAGAAACAATACCCGAAGCCGGAGATGGTATTGATTTTTAGGGTAAAACTCAACTCTTCATTTCCTCATAGAAAGGTGCGAGGAACAACTAATTATAGAGGCTTTGTACATGATATTAGTAAAATCTGATTTATAGTAATTAAGGTCTATCTTTTCAGCACTGCCATATATTAAAATTATCAAAATATCTATTAGTGGAATGAGGATGAGACAAACTGTCTGTAGACATCACAAAATCATAGTCGAAGATAAGACTTGTTTAGTCGGAATTGTTGTCGCCCCACACACAAAGATAAATTTATTTTTGTCGTGTACATGGTAAAAATTAAGAGCTTGAAAATATATTGGAGAGAGTTTACAAATAGCTGGTATCCCTCTAAATTAATGAGTTTTATTTTTATTAATACTAATAGGGAGTGCAATAAAGATTGTGGAAAGGGTAGCACACTAGCACGTGTCAAATCACACCGAGTATTGTAAACAGGCTTGTAAGTGACATACAACATCATAAAATCTGATTATGGTTAGGGTGGGATCGACAATTTAGGTCTATCTTTTCTGTACCGCCATAAGCTAAAATTACCAAATTATATATCCTTAATTACTTTATTTTAATTATCTCGAAAAGATTTATAAATGATTCAATTGAAATATGTATTAATCTTTCACGTATTTTAAAAGTCGGTCTCAACCGATGATGAGGGAGTTCTCTTGAGAGCATTATTTATCTTGAAATGCTCTAATGGATAAAAGTGAAATGAGGTTGAGACAGACTGCAGATAGATATTACAAAAAACAGAGTTGAATTATCTTGAAAATTATTAATTTTAATTAGTCATTGACCTGTACATAATTAAAATTAAGATTTAGTGTAGATAGATATCACAAAATCAAATGAGAGGCGTGAACAAATGCCTCTGAACTAATAGTAATTTTTACAAAGGATAACTCTAATTTTAGAGTTCTTAAATGCGATGTGGATGAGAAAAGATGCACATAGATATACAAAGGAGTCGTACACATATGGTATCTGTGTCGGACACTTTATATACATGTCCTAAAATAAAAATATATATTTTTTATTATTTTGAACACTTTAACACAATTCTGGACACATGAAATCATAAAATAGATAAATGACATGAACGACAAATTCATTAGTATTTACTCCATCCGTCCCAAAATAGATGAATACTTTGGGAACTGTAACTCGTACCCATCTATTTTGGAACAGACATAGTAAAAAAAATTTATACCCGAGTACATTGAATTTTTATACTCCTAAAGTTGTTTACCTTTTGAATAGATATTGCACCAAAATTTAATTGCACAGAAAATTAGGATTAATACATTAAAAGAAATATATAAATAATAAGAAAAACTACACATAGGTAGAGTCATGAGTCTTAAATAACAAAATGCTCTATTTTAAAAGTCTACTTTTCAATTTGATTGATTTAAACAAAATAATTACAAATACATCAAGAATTATTATTAAAGTCCCAAATACCCCCTTTGTAATCTGAATTGCTTTTTTGGTTGTGAAGAAATATGCCTCTTTAGGTGTTGCTTATTTCATTCTTTAATAAAATTGATTAATTATCAATATATATATATATATATCAAAAAAAGTTTTCTTGAATTATCTTTTCAAATTGATTTCATGTATATATTTGTAGTGAGACCAAATTTACAAGATTATAGAATAAAATAAAACAACAAAATAAAATAAACATACCAATAGAAACCTATATTATTTTGTTAAGAACACAAAGGGTATCACACGATCCCAACAAAATAATGTAGCAAATACTAATATTTCATTTTCAAGATGGTCATATTTATTATATAGTCATGGAAAGAACCGAAAGAAGTATTACACGCAGTAATAAGTCATATCTCTTGCACCATAATATTGATATACCATAAAATCTTATTAAATTTTTTATGTTTCAAAGAGTGTTTTGTGTCTTTAATTAGACTTTTACACCATAATATTAGTACGTTTATTGGTAGGTTTCTGTTGGTACATTTATTTTATTTATCTTTTTAATTTTATTCCATAATTTTGTAACTTTGGTCTTACTACAAATTATACATGAAATCACTTTGAAAATATAATTCAGGAAACTTTCTTTGATATATATATATATATATATATATATATATATATATATATATATTGATAATTAAGCAATTTTATTAAAGAATGAAACAAACAGCAAGTAGAGGCATACATCTCAATAACAAAAAAGTAATATTTGAGACTTTAATAATAATTCTTAATGCTTTTGTAATTATTTTGTTTAAATCAATTAAATTAAAAAAATAATCTTTTAAAATAGATCATTATATTATTTAATACTTCTAACTTTACTTATACGTAGTTTAGGAAAACTTTATACAATCTAATCTCTGTAATAAATGGTGGCCCACCGCCCCCCAAACCGTTACATGAAGGCAGTGACTACTGATTTTTAGAGTAACCCCCAACTCTTCCCCTCTCCAAAGAGAGGTGCAAGGAACAGTTAAATATTGAGGATTTGTTACTACATGACATAGCAAAATAAGATTTATGGTTAGGTCTATCCATTCAACACTTCAAAATTATCAAAATATCATTAATTACATTATTTTAAAAATTTTAAAATATTCAAATGAATAAAAGTGGAATGAGGATGACACTATGTAGCTATGAAGCACGAACATTCCTCCTAGGGGTTTCGTACCAGTGTCGGACACTTTTCGGACACCGACACCCGTGTCTGAGACTCGGACACGTGTCCGACACTTCTGCGAAGTGTCCAGAAATTATTTTTTATTGGACACGGCTCGGACACACGGAGGACACGGGGTAAACACGGCTTGGACATGCTGGGGATACGGAGGGGTATATTTTGTAATTTTTTTAAAGGACAGGACACGGCGGGGTATATTTTGTAATTTTTTTTGTAAAGATAAATGGGGTACCTAATGTAATTTATTAATTTTAAAAGTAAAATTTTGAAAAAATAAAAAAACAAAACACTAGAAAATTACATTAAATTAAATTTTGTAAATGGGTTTACTATGTTTTGAGAAACAGAGTATTACATAAAAAATTTATTTTCTCTCACTTACTTTCTCAGTTTCTCCTCTTCTTCAATTATCTCTCTACATGAACACGACATTTTTTATTTTTTATTTTAAGTTACATGAACAAGACTTTGTGAAATACTGAAAGTATATATGTTTATTTATATACATATTTAGCTCATTATAGTTATGTCTCTTCTGCACATCTTCGTTTGGAATTTGGATCAACTTTATTTTTCATTTATTTTCTATTTTGTCTTGTCTATGTTTTTCTTATAATATAGATGAAATTATTGAAATTGGTCCTATTATTTGTTATTGTTTTATTTGCAATTTTGTATATATATATATACCTGTTTGTTATTAAGAAAATGAATGTGCAATGTTCTAGTAATTATATTTTAAATATATATATATATATATATATATATATATATATATATATATATAATTTGATAGGCGTATCCGCCGTGTCCGTGTCTTATTTTTTTGAAACTTGCCATGTATAACGACCCGAAATTAGGGGCACAAATAAAACATGATTCGGAAACCGTCCGAATAAATTCTCCAAAAATCATCCAATTTAAAATCCATAGTCCATTCATTGTCCCAAAACACGTCATAAACAACCTCAAAATTTACATAATGTGTACTACAAATTTCATACAAAAAAAAAAATTCATCAGGACAAGAGTGCCGAGTTAGGAGTAAAATCTGCGCAACAACTACTTAAAAATTCGTTTTAAATCGGAGCAAACGAAAATGATTTGAAAACTAGATTCAAAGTGAAACACAGCTGAGAAACTCATAGATGCTAAAGATTTTCCAATTAAATCAGATTTGAGAAGTAAATCAGCAATACTTAGTTTAAAGAAAACCTGGGCAGCAGATACTTCAGAATTTTTAGAAAATTCATTTGAACTCCGAAATTGACAAAGTAAATTTATTTTGACAGTAGGCTTATGAAAGAATAAATCTGGAAGTTTTGATAAAGATCCGGTGTCAAGAAGTTGGTGAAGTAATTTATTTAAAATCTTATTTTCAGCAGGTGTAAAATCTGGACAGCAGATAATCTCAAATTTTTATAAAAATATCTGCTACTCTAAAAATTATGAAATTTTATAGAGAAGTACTAGATACATAAAGGAAGTTGTGGTAAAAATTTAAAAGCATTTAGAGCAATACAGCTCCTTGAAGAAATTATTTAATTTTCGCAAAAATACAAAATCCTTGTTTTCTTACTTGAGCTCCATTTACAAATTTCATCACAACTACAATAGAAGGATAGGTACAACCAGTCTCTAAGTGAACATAGAATGGTTTAGATACAAATTAGGCACTTAAACTCACAAATACATCCAATTCCTCAAATAAATTCATGCAAACATTTCTCAAACACTTTATACACAAAACTAAATGGTCTCCAATGCTATAATTTTCAGCCACTCCCAATTGTTCTCCAATGATCAATACAACCTGCAATATGGTAGGGTGAGACACAAGGTCCCAGTAGGAATAAACTGTAACAAAAGTTTCTAAGGAAATTCCAGCATAAGACATAGCCATGAAGAACATGATTTTCAAGTATAGGAGTAATATGCAGCTCAATTACACATAAGAATGAAGCAACAACCTTCAAATAGATTCGGCACAAGGATTTTAACAATAATGACAAGAATCAAGTAGTAGTCAAGGGTTCTGCAAAGCAGATGAAATTGTAACACAAGGAACACTTTCATGGCTACAAAACGTAAAATAGGGAACCAAAATCACCAAATAAACAAATGTTACAGTAAACCCTACCTCAATCATGCTAGAAAAGGTGAGATAATGATGGAAATGAACATGCATAAGGTGATAGTGAGAGGCTGGTGGAAATCTGGCCAGCACTTCCTTAATCCTTTCTTCCCTTTATTTTCTTCCATGGCTGAACCTCCCTCTTCTTATTCTCTCGGTTCTGCTCCTCCTTCTCTCTAATCCTCTCTTCCTCCTTCCCTTTCCTACACCTTAGTTTCTGTTTCATGCCCCAAGTGAGGGACACAATTGAATTGTAAAAGCCATGGATTACTAACGTGTCTTTATGTGGGCTGATTGTGAGGACACATCATTTAAGTTTTCCTATAAGATTGCCACATGTATCTCCACTAACAATTCTTTCTTTAATTTACAAAACCTCCACCAATAAAAATTAAATCACTTTAATGTCCCAACTCTTCTAACAAGTGATAAAGACCCCAAATGATATAAAAGTCTCAAAAAAAAAAAAAAAAATCATCCATTAATCAAATTTTTAAGCTTAATCCAAAAATCCGAGGTATTACAATCTCCACCCCTTAAGGGAATTTCGTCCTCGAAATTCAAATCTCAACTTGTTTCTGTTATCATTCGAAAAGCATAAACCACATAAGTCCTTTGTCCCTTTTTTCCAGATTCTGGAAAAATAAGTTCATGAAAAACCAATTAAAACTCGTGCGACTAAAACTCCAGAACATAACACATAGCATCAAGTAAACATGTGTATATATATCTAAACTTGTCCAACAATTTAAAACATTAGGATTAGGAACAAATCATACTCATTTAACATGGAACAACAAAAACACAGGTTATAACAAAATGTGAACATCTTTTCCAAATTGGAACAAAACCTGAAACCAAAATAACAACCAGCCAAAGGGATAGAAAAACAAGTAGAGAGTTTAAAGAGAATGTCCCACGACTACCAAAGTTAGAGGAACCCTACCAATGGATGATGAAATGGTGATGATGAGAGTCCTAACTCTATTCTTTCTCTTCCTCTTTCTTTTGTTCTTCTAAACTTATGGTCAGGTTTTTTTTTTTTTGTCCTCTCTATTCTTTTCTCCGTCCCTCTATTAGCACAAAGGAAAACCAAACTTCAAGCCATGGGTGTTTGGTGTAAATGTGTCATAGTGGTGCATGCTAGGGACATGTGTCCTAATACCCTTTTATGGGGCTACCACATAGAGACCCACTAAGCCAACTCTTAGTGAAGTAATCATTTTGGCCTACCCCACTAGTAAAGAAAATGCATTAGGAACCTCACTCTAATTTTCTATATTTAATTAAAATGACAAAATGGCATCACATAGCGCTAAAACAAAAATCAGATTAATAACAACAAGCACTATAAAATTTGATCAAATATATATAAGTATCACATAGGGTACAAAAAATAAAATAAAAGACTAAATGGAAACACTTAACCCTTTGTGCATAAATAGAGGCATGGTTAAAAAAAATCTATGGTGTTACATTCTCCTCCCCTTAAAGAATTTTCATCCCTGAAATTTTAACATTTGCCTTATTAGGAAGTTCAGTCACAAAGATCTTTATTATCATTATGCACAAAATATTTAAAAGAGCTTAAATTATTCACAAGCTCAAGAGTACATCCACAAGTTCATTCTCCCTAACTTATTAAAACATACACACACAGAATCTTTCAATTTACAATTTTTAATCAAAACATTACTCATTTTTGGGAAATAAAATGGATCATTTTTGTTTAGGCTACATAGATGCATGGATCAATATATACCCCAACTCACTATTCTTTACAAGTCAAATGTCCATGTCAAATGCCGTCACATACATGGCATGAAACTTGACACACAGATTTCGTGACCATTTCATTTATTTCCCCACCAAACATCCTAGAGTGTCCCACACTGTCACTCCCCCTTCGAACCAGTGTGGATCCAACTCTCAACACCCAAACAATGGTCTACCACGTGGGTTTCGGGTCTTTCACCCCAGGGTAGCTCGTACCCTAATTAATTCACCACTTCCGTCCAAGTGTGTACCCGAGAGTGTCCCACACTGTCACTCCCCCTTCGAATCAGTGTGGTCCCATCTCTCCATACCCAAACAAGGGTCTACCACGTGGGTTTCGGGTCTTTCACCCTAGGGTAGTGCGTACCCTAATTAATTCCTCTCCGAAACATCACCCCTTTCGTGTTTCTGGAAATGTTCCATCCCTTTCGTATCTTAATCAAGCCATAAACCTCTCGTCACATGCATTACAACCAAGGCACAAAACATGTTCAACTCCACAATATAGTTTTATCAAGGGAATTATTAACAATAAATTCAACAATTTAGCTAAGAGACTGTCCATAGCCATTTGTATCCAAACCAAAGTACAAACTTGAACATTACTAGCAAAAGGCTCCATACAAATGGAATACATATCAACAAGGTATAATCCCACATTTATTGTTTTAAATATCTTTCCATAATCATTGACATTACAACTTAGTGTACAACACATGGACGTAAGAGAAATTACATTTGTCACAACAGTGTGTTAACCTTTCTTTTAATTCATACATAGTTCTGTCATTGTCCAATTTAAACCTAAAACTCAAATTATAGATAATGTGGGGTGGTGAGACGAAAAGTCCCAGTAGAAAAGATGCTAACCAAAGACCCTAAGAGGGTGTTATGCAAGCGATGGCAAGCAGTTTATGAACAAGGCTCGTGTATGCATACATTGATCATATCTATATCATTTCATATAGAAATAAATTTATACATTTAATGCACATGATTGACAAGCATTCCATGAAAATGATTTATTTTACAAAGATGATCGCAAACAAACATGGATAATAATATTAATTATGCTTAAAATGGACCCGTTTACTAAATGACATCTGACCAGTGTCTAAAAAAAAATCTTAGAAAATTCATCTATTATCAAAACGAGGCAAACTGAAATTCTTTGGAAACTATACCAACAGTTCTAAGAATCTGGAAGTTTTCAAAATTTTCCGACGGCTGAGAACTGGTCAATAGAATTCATTAATAATTCAAACAACACTTAGCGAAAGAAAAGAGCAGTTCCAGATTATATATATATATATATATATATATATATATATTAAAAAAATTAACCACCTGTCCAATGACGATGAAATCTGGTAGAGACTAATTAGACACACAAACCCACGTATGATAAAAAATATATATATATATTCTGAGAGTTAAGAGGATAGAAACACGCGGAATACAGAGCCTGAAAAGACTCCAATAGCAGCAAAAGAAATTTATTTCAATAGCACAATCTGTTTATCATTTTTTTTTTTTTAAGATAATGTTACCTCATTCAACTTCAAAATCTCCACTATCACGGAGAAATAACCAAATTTTCACTACGCGATTGAAGGTAACCAAAAGGTATGATAACACATAAACATGTAAACTAAAGGATTAACAAACGATTGATTGGAAAAAAAATAATTGAAAAGAAACAACTGAGTAAATTAATAACATGGCAAACAATGCCAAGCCTATATATGATAATAGGCAAGCCTTAAGATTAGGTTTTAATCTTAAGTAGCGCAAACAATGGCAAGCCTATATATGATACAATCATAGATTCATATGAACAGTGGAAAACATTTCATCTAAATGATGGGGGATAATTGAGCACCTATTGCAACATAACATCATAAGCATGGAGGAGAACAACTATTCTCTTTAACAACATATATGACAACCAAAATGAGATGCCCATGTATATAAATATAAGAGGAAAATAATATATATATATATATATACACAATTTTGTAGGAATGGTCAACCAAAGGGGCTAGGGTTTGAGAATCCCTACAGCTCTTTCCCCATTTTCGCTTCTTCACTATAATTTGTTAAAAACTTTTCTTAGAAGAAAATTCATTTCAAAGTTCATGATGAACATGCCAAGTTGAATATTAACATAATCAATCATCTACATGTGTTTCAAAATACAATTTTATTGAAAAGGATATGTATTGAAAACTAAATGACATATTACGCATAGGCATCCATATAAAGGAAAACAACTTAATATGATCTCATGATAATAAACCATTAAGTGATTGATAAGATACTACAGTTTTCAAAAGTTTGCCAGGTAATCAAGATTCATACAATAGTGAAAAAGAATATCTCAATACAACCATAAACAAATCAAAGCTTTTGGATCCAATACTTGGCACATAAATGAACAAATTGACCAGTCACTTATCATATATCAACATATTAAAAATTACTTTCACATATCAAGGCTCACAAATGTCATTAAGGTATGTCACATAGTTTTCTCCTCCCCACATTCCAAGTAAAACGTGTTGTGTCATCGAAGGGTGTTGAATTTACATATAGCACTTGCCCCATCCACACCCAGGCGATGTGGGATTGTGCACCTGTAACTCGCCCAGTGTGGTAGTGCCACCTGCACACGCTCATGCACACCCGCCCACAAGGTCATCACAATCAACCCCCCCCATTGGGGCCCAACATCCCCGTTGGCCACACTTCCGGCTGGGTCAGGCTTTGATACCATTCTGTAACGACCCAAAATTAAGGGCACAAATAAAACATGATTCGGAAACCGTCCGAATAAATTCTCCAAAAATCATCCAATTTAAAATCCATAGTCCATTCATTGTCCCGAAACATGTCACAAACAACCTCAAAATCTACATAATGGGTACTCCAAATTTCATACCAAAAAAAAAAAAAAAATTCATCAGGACAAGAGTGCCGAGTTAGGAGTAAAATCTGCGCAACAACTACTTAAAAATTCGTAGAAAATTCGTTTTAAATCGAAACGGAGCAAACGAAAATGATTTGAAAACTAGATTCAAAGTGAAACACAGCTGAGAAACTCACAGATGCTAAAGATTTTCCAATTAAATCAGATTTGAGAAGTAAATCAGCAATACTTAGTTTGAAGAAAACCTGGGCAGCAGATACTTCAGAATTTTTAGAAAATTCATTTGACCTCCGAAATTGACAAAGTAAATTTATTTTGACAGTAGGCTTATGAAAGAATAAATCTGGAAGTTTTGATAAAGATCCGGTGTCAAGAAGTTGGTGAAGTAATTTATTTAAAATCTTATTTCCAGCAGGTGTAAAATCTGGACAGCAGATAATCTCGAATTTTTATAAAAATATCTGCTACTCTAAAAATTATGAAATTTTATGGAGAAGTACTAGATACATAAAGGAAGTTGTGGTAAAAATTTAAAAGCATTTAGAGCAATACAGCTCCTTGGAGAAATTATTTAATTTTCGCAAAAATACAAAATCCTTGTTTTCTTTCTTGAGCTCCAAATACAAATTTCATCACAACTACAATAGAAGGATAGGTACAACCAGTCTCTAAGTGAACATAGAATGGTTTAGATACAAATTAGGTACTTAAACTCACAAATACATCCAATTCCTCAAATAAATTCATGCAAACATTTTCTCAAACACTTTATACACAAAGCTAAATGGTCTCCAATGCTATAATTTTCAGCCACTCCCAATTGTTCTCCAATGATCAATACAACCTGCAATATGGTAGGGTGAGACACAAGGTCCCAGTAGGAATAAACTGTAACAAAAGTTTCTAAGGAAATTCCAGCATAAGACATAGCCATGAAGAACATGCTTTTCAAGTATAGGAGTAATATGCAGCTCAATCACACATAAGAATGAAGCAACAAC